ACCATATTGTTTTTGATTTCTTTCACTTATTTTCAAAGTTCATACTGAACTTTATGTATCTTTTTATTACTGAGTGATAGTCAGTTATATTAATAGGCTACATTTTATTTATCTATTCATCAGTTGATGGACTTTTGGACTAGTGAATATTTTTTACTTCTAAGAAGAAAAAACTTTATAAATTGGTCTAACAATTGCTTTGTTGTTGTTGTTGTTTGTTTTTTGTTGTTGTTTTGAGACAGGTTCTCACCACATATCCCTGGCTGGCCTGAAACTCTATAGACCCCACTGGCCTCAAACTCAGAGATCTGCCTGCCTTTGCCTCCCAAGTGCCAGGATTAAAGGCATGTGCCACCACACCCAGCCCCGATATTTTTTTAAAGTAACATTGTGAACTGTAGAGATGACTCACCAGTTAAACATACTTTCTGTCTTGCAGAGGACTCAAGTTCAGTTCCCAACACCCACATCAGGCAGCTCACAACTGTCTATAACTCCAGCTCCAGGGGATCCATACTCTCTTCTGGCTTCATCAGGCACCTGTATTCGTGTGCATGTACGCACACACAGACACATACACGTGCACATAATTAAATTTTTTTTGAAATCTTAGAAAAACAAGAAGCAAAATTATCAGGGCTTAAGCATACCGAGTAATAAGAACTTTGAGCAAAATCTCAAAGACCAGTCTTTTTATAGTAGTCTCAGGATGTAAAGTTTGAAATCATTTGATACTGAATTTCACAGTGTCGACCAAATTTACTAATATGAGATTAAAGTTCCTTTACAAAGCATTAATTTTCTTTTTATAGTCTTCCAATTGTGTCTAACCATTACCAACAGAAATGTAACCAGACATACAAACTAAAAAGCCTAAATGTTTTATAGGAGGAAATTGGAACTGAGGACATGGCCAGAAGGCAGAAGTAAATAGAAATTACCAAAGAAGGAAATTCAGAAAAGGAGATACTGAGTAATGTCTGCTGATACATTCATTAGGCTGTTGTCAGTGCTGTGCAGGGTCTCTTTAAAACTGTTATGCTAATAGTCATATACATCAGTCCTCCACTCTTTAAGGTAGGGTGACCAAACCACCATGATTGCTTAACTCTAGAGTTACATTGTAGCAAAATGGCTCGGTAGGATTTGGAGCCAGGCATGTCTATGTTTGATCCTTAGAGTGTCTCTATTGACTTTATGATTTGAAGCATGCAATTTTATTTCTTAGCTACAAAATAGAGATGATATACTTACCTAAAAGAAACAAACACATTGTCTGAACATAGTAAATGCCTGAGTGCTATTTGTAGTTATTATATAAAGTCAAAACATCTGAATTTCTTTGGGTTTCTCTTTTGTCTTATCTGTTTACTTATGTCCTGCTTTGTTTCAAAAAGAGATTTAAGGCAGCATGGTGTGTCTGTAGTTGAATATTCTTGAAACCCAGCTGGGTCCAGTCTGGGCAGAGAGACTGCACAGCAAGTTGTAGTGGTAATATAAACTCCATGGGACACATGTAAGCACCAAAGCTGAGGAGTGCCTCAGGTTTATATGTATCTGGGACAGGTTGAAGGTTTTCTAAGGGAAAGGCAGCCAAGCATTGTGGGAAGGATGCATAGGTTTGAGACAAAGAAACATATACTTAAATCCCAATATCACTGTTAGCCATGTAATTATTTGCCAGGTTGCAATTGAAGGCCGGCCTGCCTTCCTCCCTCCTTCCATCTCTCCCTCCCTCCCCTCTCTCCCTCCCTCCCCTCCTCCCTCCCTCCCCTCTCCTCATCAGAAAGGATCTCATGGTCAGGTATGGTGGTGGGATTTTTTTTTTTTTTTTTTTTTTTTTGAATAGAGGATTTCAGGCTGGCCTTGAACTCACAATCCTCCTGCCTCCCAAGTGCCAGTAATGCTCGCATGGTATTATGCTGTCTTAGATAGTTTGTTACGGAAACCTAGCAAAACAGGGACTAGAGCGATGGTTCAGCAGATACGAGCACTGACTGCTCTTGCAGAGGACCCAGGTTTGGTTTCCAGCACCCACATAGCAGCTAAGTCATCCATAACGCCAGTTCTGGAGATCCAGTGCCCTCATCTGGCCTTCTTGGGCATTGCACACACCTGTGCACTTTATGCATGCAGACAAAACACTCATAAGCATAAAAAATAAATATTTAGACACCTAATAAGTAGTATAACTGGAACTAAAAATTCTTTTAGTTATCCTTAGCTTTTGTAATACAAATGGGAGTTTCCCAACGCTTCATTTCAGTGCATACTTAACCAGTGGGCTGTCCTATGTAATTTTATAGGGGATGGCATATAATGAAATACTGCTATTTATTAAATTGTTATTGAATTGTAAACCAACACTTAAGCAGCCTGCATGTGTCATTATTTATATACTGACCTTATACCTTCCCTGTGTTCCTCAGGAGATCAAGTTGCACAATAATGGCATGACAGCATTTAAGTGCCAATTCATATTTACAGCTTTACCTGCTTATGATGGTTTATATAAATATGGCTTCATGTCTTTTTGGTTATGAAAACATTTTGTTTTCAAACTCGAGCTATTTGTGTGTGTGTGTGTGTGTGGTTGTTGTTGTTGATGTTATTTTTAAAGTACTTTCTAGATCTCCTTGTCCAGCTACGAAGCTAGCCCCTAAAAGCTTAATAACCACAAAACCTGTTCTACTTTGTAACAAGTTGAGGGTAGTTTTCATGTGGTGACTATAGACTGATGAACAAGTACTGGGATGGAAGTTGCTTTTCAGTAATATACCTGTAGTAATATACCTGTGTATACTGTATAACAACTTTATTGTGTATCCTCCTTTTAACTGCAAATTACGGTGAAGATTTACTGATCATTGAGCAAATAGAATAGGAGGTTCCTTTGAGATTTATTGCTTTAGAATTGACAAAGGGAAGACTGTGGGTCTGGGTGTTGCTGTCAGTGATACTTGCATGTATTTGAGTGTGCACCAACCAGCGTGTATGGTTTGCTTCCATGAAGTTTCAGTGTGTGACTCCAGTTCCATTCTAAACCAGACATAATTCTTTGAATCACTGTTTTGATTATTTTTAATTAGAAAAGGACTGTACTTTTTATGTGGCTTTTTATACCATCTATAAATAAAATGACACATTTGGCATTTTAACACTTGCTGTTGGACATATTGAGCAAAAAGGCAGCTGCCGACTTTTAATATAGATCTGTTCAACAAAGGACCATATCCTACTATAGGTAGAGATTAAATAATAGTAAAGTGCAGTTGGATGAGTCAAATAAGAAAAGGGAAGTACAAAATGTCACTAGCTCTTTGTTTGCAATATATTCCTTATAAGTTGTTTACCTAGAACATCACTGGGTCAGCTTTCAGCTATGATAATAGAAATTCTTTTAAAAAATAAACCATGGGGCTGGAGAAATGGCTCAGTGGTTAAGAGCACTGGCTGCTCTTGTAGAAGACCCAGGTTCGATTCCCAGCACCCAAATGGTGGCTAACAATTGTCCGAAACTCCAGTTCCAGGAGATCTGACACCCTCTTCTGACTTCCATGGGCATTGCATGACACAAGTGCCCTTGCATGCATGCAGGCAGGTAATATACATATAAAATAAAAATAATAAAGTAAAAAATAGACCATGTTCATATTAGTTACCTTAGCTTGTTCACTAACATAACAAATGCAAAAGCTTCTAAGGTATTTTAGATTATCAAAACTGTGACTATTTTCTTTATAAATTTCCATCATTTTGATAAAGCGTATCTTTATTTTACCATAAACACTCTTAACTGTTCCCTAAATCACTGAACTTCTTTCCAGTCTTACAGCAAAGGCTACTGAAATGTTTGTGGTCTATAAGGAACTTGTACCAAATATTCAGAGGGATTATATTTAAGCACACGAAAAAAAATTATCCTTGAAGTGCCTGTGCACCGTGAAAATAAAATCGACCAGATGGTCAGAACAGAGGTGGAATTTGAATGTAACAGGTATGATATTTAGTACTGGGTGTTTCACTAATCAGGAGGCGTTGGGCAGTTCCTGTCCTTGAAGGACGAAAGGCATGAGTAACGGCAGATAGAAAGAGCAGAATTCCATTCCAGTCTCATTCTCTACACTGCTGCTAAACTTACCTTTCCAAAGCACAAGCGTCATCATAGTAAATACTTAACAGCCCTTTATCACAGATACTGTTTTAGGCACTTTATTTATGTTAACTGATTTAATCCCTATACCCCTTATGTAAGTGTTAGTATTAGCCCTGCAGAAAGACAGAAGAGGTACATGACTTGCCCACAGAGCTCATCCTGGCTTTTAACCATCACATATGCTTATACAGAAACCATGAGCACATCTTCTGCTTCCTTAAAACAAAAGGCACTCACAGATTATCAGAACATGGCTCCAATTTGTCTTTCCAACTTGAGATCCACTTTTCTCCTTACAAGATCTATGTTTTAGCCCCTCTTTATTATTGTGTCCTAAAGAGAACTTCTGTTCTTTCTTAATTTTTTTTTTTTTAATTTTTAAGAAGTTTTGCCTGCATGCATGTAAGTGCACCCATGTCGTGCAATGCCTGCGGAGGCCAGGGGAGTGTGTTGGATCCCCTGGAACTGGATCAGTTATTAGCCGCCATATGGTCGCTGGGAACCAAACCAGAGTCCTCTGCAAGAGCAACCAGGGCTCTTAACCGCTGAGCCATCTCTCCAGCCCCATAAATACAATTTCTATTCTTATCTCAGTTTCTGCTTATATTTCCTCAGCCTCAAATGTGCTCTCATTCCCGTCCCCATCTTTGTAAAACTGAGGTGATTTTTCACCTTAATACCTTGCACCTTTTCCATAGTACCATGTCTGTATCATGGCTATTTGTGTTTCTATTTTTTAGTATATGTTTTTCTTGTTTTGTTTTCTTTCATGACAAAGTTTCACAGTATAGCCCAGGTTGGCCATAGTCACTATGTAGCCTAGGTGGCCTTGACTGAACTCACTGCAGTCCTCCTGCTTCAGCCTGCCAAGTACTGGGATTATAGGTGTGTGCCACCACATCCAGCTATTACTGTATAGACTTTTTAAGTTCCTTAACGGGGTATGATGGATTATTCTTTGTATCTTTAGTAGTGTTTAGCCTAAGCTTGCAGGTAGTGTGAAAGAGGAAGTGTCATGGTCGGCACAAAGGTTTTGACCCAGCATTGGGAAGTGGGAGTGGGAATTTTACAGAGGACAGTAATTCTGAAAGTCAGGCGTTTGGTTTAGACCTGTTCTGTTTGAAGTGAGAGAATACCCAAGCAGCAAAGGACTGCAGTTGTGGAGGAATGACTTCTGGTGCCCGTCTGAGCTCATTTTTACAAATTCGTTAACATTGCTTCATAGTAGTAGGTATATGTTGCCAGAACTCAGTATAATTTTTTTTTGATATGTATCACCAGTTGGTTTTCATTTCATTGCTGTGTTTGTTTGGGTTTTTTTAGTGTATATTTTTCTTGTTTTCATTTTGGAAAACAAAAATGGTTGGTTTTCATTTGGTAAATGAGATTTAGCTATCATATGCTTATTTGCAACTTTAAAAAATAAAAAAATGAAAGCTGATTTATAGACTGGTTGTTATCATGGTCAATACAGAAGCTAGATACCTAAACTAGCCCTTAAGGTCATGTTGTAGCTATTTGCCTCTGTTAAAAAGATTTAAAAAAAAAAAAAAAAAAGAAGAAGAAGCCTAACAGGATTCAGAGAGGCTCCTTGGGACAGGGTACACAGGCACCAAGATGGATTGGAGAAAAAAGTCTCTGGACATCACGGCCTCATTGGTAGATCTTAAGCCTGAGCTCTTCCGAAAACAAGAAGAATTCAAACAGGAAAAACTTCTAAAAGATTCTGGAGCTTTTGGAAAACCAAAGACAACTAATAAGAAACCAAGTATCTGGAGCAAGCAAAATGCAGGCGTTTCAAATCGAGCGGAGAAGGACGCTGAGCAGAAGCTTGAGGAGCAGAAGACTTTAGACAAAGCAAGGGAAAAATTGGAAGAAAAAGCCAAATTATATGAAAAGATGACTAAAGGAGACTTTCTAGATGAGGAAGTAGAAGACATGTACCTTGTGGATTTGACACGGAAAATCATAGGCAAGCCCAAAGAAATGGAGGTGCTTGGTGCCAGGACAGTCCCGAAATGCAGGAGAGATGATGCAGAGCTTTCTGAAAGACATACCTCCTCCCCAAGACCCCAGTGAGGAATGGGTGGACTATGTGGACTCTACTCCGATCCCCGCGCTGCATGAGGAAGGATTTGCCAGATCTGTTGGAGATGGATAAAAACCTTCAGGGGAGACTTTTTGTTAGTCCTGCTAATGAAAAAACATCATTATCTGAAGACATGAGGAAAGAACTTCAGCGCCAACAATGGGAAGAGGAGGAAATGGAGGCCCTGAGAAGGCCAATGGGGTCCATCTACTACGAGGACATTCGAGAAAATGAGGCCCGGCAACTTGGTGTTGGCTATTTTGCCTTTGCCCAAGACAAAGAGCTGAGAAACAAGCAAATGAAAAACACTAGAGATGCTGTATGAGCAGACAACAGATCAGAGGACAAAGCGAGAAAGCATAGAGGGAAAGCGGAAGGCTGTGTTAGAAGCAAGAGTGGCCCAGCAGAGACAAAAAAGATGAAAAAAATCAAAGGAAGATGGGACAGAGAAGAAAACAGAGATGGAGATGTTATTGGGCCTTTGCCACCAGAACCAAAAGCTGTGCCAACTCTGCCTCCTGCTGCCCAGAGGGACAGCATGAGAGGAGGGACACCAAGCCTCGAGTGCCACACGTCCGAGAAGGGGGACCGAGGAAAATAATTTTCCTTGGGATACTGGTCAGAGAAGCGGTCAGAACTCCGGGCTGAGCAAGATCCTGAGTTTGCCCCACCATCGGATTACTTTGTGGGTCAAAAGAAAGCTGGTCCTTTGGGTCACCAGCCATGGAACAGACTGGGATCTGTACCCAGCAACCCAGGGCATTGCTCTGACCAGAGCCAGGAACCTAGCTCTCCATATAAGCCATCTACTACTGCCCCTGAAATCCCATCACAAGCCCCCATAGTAACTTTCCAAAGTCTGGATGATATGATATCATATTATAAACAAGTCACATGACCTTGGGGGAGAAAAGATTTAAAAAAAAATAGGGACGACTCCCTTGTTTTCAAATTATTCCTTTGATCTACTGGTTTGATTTCAGACCTTAAAAGACATTCATTCTGTGTGTTCCATGTACTTCACTGAGTTCTTTTGGAGTGTGGTTTTTGGGGGGCTTTGGGGGGCCTTTTTGAGATAAGGTCTCCCTACAGCACCCCAGCTTGCCCAGAACTCGCTGTGTAGACCAGGCTGACCTCGATGTCACAGCGATCTACCTGCCTCTGCCTCCTGAGTGCTGGGAGTAAAGTTGTGCACTACCATGCCTTGCTAAGATTTTTTTTTAAGTATATTTATAGGAAATTTGATTGATTGATTTTTATGCATGTGAGTGGTTTACTTCCATGTATGTAAATGCACCACATGTGTCCAATGCCTGTGGAGGCCAGAAGAGGCCATTAGACCACCTGGAACTGGAGTTACAGATGGTTGTTAGTTACCAGGTGAGTGCTGGGACCTGAACCCTGGTCTTTTGCAAAAGCAGCCATCTCCCTAGCCCCCAAGATTATTTTTTTATTAGAGAAGACAGGGTTTTATATAGCCAAGACTGATCTCAAACTCATGTAGCTAAGGATGACTTAAAATTCTTTAAAACAAAGTCCTTTTAAAAGAACTGGAGTTACAGATGGTTGTTAGTTACCAGGTGAGTGCTGGGACCTGAACCCTGGTCTTTTGCAAAAGCAGCCATCTCCCTAGCCCCCAAGATTATTTTTTTATTAGAGAAGACAGGGTTTTATATAGCCAAGACTGATCTCAAACTCATGTAGCTAAGGATGACTTAAAATTCTTTAAAACAAAGTCCTTTTAAAAATTTATTTTTAACTCTTCCTTTGTGCTCAGAGCGTGGTTAAGACAAACTAAGAAAGCATCAGACTCAAGATGTCCTGCCTGCACCACCTGCACCACATGCACCACCATGTTGCTCAGCTCCACTCACGTCCACCTGGGGCCCACCTTCTTTCTCTCTGTGTGTGTGTGTGTGTGTGTGTGTGTGTGTGTGTGTGTGTTTCATGTTAAGTGCAGGTGCCTGTGCAGGCAGAGACATTAGATCCCTCTAGAACTGGAATGAGCCACCGGGTGTGGGCTCTGGGAACTGAGCTGGTTCTCTGCAGAGCAGTATGCACTTTTAACTGCTGAGCCATCTCCAGCCCTACAGTGAATCTTATGTATGAGTATATTGAGCACCGTTTAGAATCCCACTCTAGAAAACACTTTAATGGATTTGGATCAGAGGCAGCCCCTTGTTTATAAAACTGTTGATATAGGACTAATGCTGGAAATTTTAGAAGACAGTTTCCAGTATCTGCCTACTTAGCATCCAGTAGGTTGCTGTCATCCTGTGATCATTTAGAATCACATTGGCAGTATACAATGTCTGCTTTGAATGAACCAACTTGTGCTTAGGATGTAATTGTTCTCTGGGGTGAATGCCTTCAGTTATTGGTGATGTTAGGTACATTATGGGTTTCCCCTACTGTGCTATTTCTTCTATTTATTTCCTGCCTTTGTAAGTTGTTAGCAACGTTTTTGTTCTTTGTTAATTCAGAGTTAACTGCCTTTTTTTTTTTTTTTTTTTTTTTTTTTTTTTTTTTTGTCTTTTTGAGACAGGGTCTCCCTGTAGCCCCAGCTGTCCTGGAACTCACTATGCAGACCAGGCTGGCCTTGAACTCACAGAGATCCACCTGCCTCTGCCTCCCGAGAGCTGGGACTACAGGTATGCGCCACCATGCCCGGCAATATTTAATATTTTATTTATTATTTTATATGTATGAGTATATTGCCTGCGTGTATGTGAGTACACCTGTGTCAGGCCATGCTGTGGAGGTCAGAAGAGGGCTTCAGATTCCCCTGGAACTGGAGTTAAGGACGGTTCATAGCCACCATGTGGGTGCTGGGAATTGAACCCAGGTCCTCTGCAGGAGCAGTCGGTGCTCTTAACTGATGGGCTATCTCTCCAGCCCCCCCCCTCTTTTTTTTGGTCTTTTTTGAGACAGGGCCTCTGTAGCTCCAGCTGCCCTGGAACTCACTATGAAGACCAGGCTGGCCTCAAACTCAGAGCTCCACCTGCCTCCCTCCTGAGCACTAGAATTAAAGGCTTGTGCCACCTCTTAAGAGTACTGGGATTAAAGGTGTGCCCCACCATGCCCAGCTTTGTTTTTTTGTTTTTATGAGACAGAATCTTATTGTATAGTCCTGGCTGGTTTGGAAACTCACTATGTAGACCAGGCTGGCCTCAAACTCAGAGATCCACCTGCCTCTCTCCTGAGCACTGTGTAGACCAGACTGACCCCAAACTCAGAGATCCACCTGCCTCTCTCCTGAGCACTGTGTAGACCAGACTGACCCCAAACTCAGAGATCCACCTGCCTCTCTCCTGAGCACTGTGTAGACCAGACTGACCCCAAACTCAGAGATCCACCTGCCTCTCTCCTGAGCACTGTGTAGACCAGACTGACCCCAAACTCAGAGATCCACCTGCCTCTCTCCTGAGCACTGAAACTAAAGGCTTGTGTCACCTCTTAAGAGCCAATTGTAGCACATTCCTAACGTGACTGTTCAAGCACTTCATACCTGTTTTCCTCACCTTGTGTTTTTACTGAGTTTTGGGAAGACTTCATTCACCTCTACAATGAAAGGGACCACAGGGACAGTAGCTCCTTTCCTTGAGTCGTTTCTCTTTTATACATTCCAGAAAGTCTTTCACTGTTTGCTTTACTGATGTATCCTTATCCTTTTCCCATGTTGTTGTAGAATTCAATCTGTCTGTCTGAATCTTCAGTTACTTCAATAGGATTTAGAAGGACAGGAAATTGACCCACTTTAACTTTCCTGTGTTTTAATAAATGTTGATTGAATTTTATTGGGTTGTACAGTTGATTTGGGCTAATATTTATGCATATGTATGAGTTTAGTACATATCTTTTATTATCTTTATAATTTTATTAATATTGGGAACATGAGACAGTAATTTTCCTAAGGACATGTATTTCTTCAGTAAGCCATAAAAGGTGTATTTTCTATGGTCTCCATTTATAGAAAGAACACACACACACACACACACACACACACACACACATATATATATATAGATATATATAGATATATATAGTTAAGAATATAAGAGTCAGGCATAGTAGGGCATACCTATAATCCCAATACTTGGGAGTCATAGGCAAGGAAGATCAATACAAGTTAGCAGCCACCCTAGTCTGTGTAGCAAGTTCCAGGTTAGCCAGGGCTATATAGTAAGACCCTGTATCAAGAAAGAAAGAAAGAAAAAGAAAGTTAATTATAGTTTTACTCAAATAGCACAGTGTCTAGAGCAGGGCTCCTTGAACTTTTTCCACTCATAACCCCTTTGCACCCTGACCCCAGGTATATAGGTGTATTAGTGACTTTCCTCACTGCTTTATCAAAGTGCCTGACAAAAGCATCTTAAGGAAAAAAAGATTTATTTTGGCTCATGTTCAATCCATCATGGCAGGGAAGGCACATCTGTGGAACATGAAGCGCTGCTCACATGGTACATACAGTCCGAAAGCAGAGAGATGAGCGCTTGTGTTCAGCTTGCTTTTTCCCTTTTACTCAGTTGAGGACCTTTGCCATGGAGTGGTGCCACCCACATTTAGGGTGGTTGTCTCACCTTGGTTAACGCAATCTAGAAATTCCTCACTGTCATGGCCAAAGGCTTGTCTCCTAGGTGATTCTAGGTCCTGTCAAGTTGACAGTTATTATTAACCATCACAGGTCCATCCCTTGTAAACTTGACACCTAATCATACTACTTTAAAAATGGTAACCTTCTGCCTCTTGTCCCCATAGACTCATGATCTTCTTTTGAAACATTCAGCTCCAACTACAAAAGTTCTAATAGTTAACAGTTTCAACACTGTTTAAAAGTTCCAAGTCTACTGCAGCTTAGATTCACAGCTTCACATAGTGACCTCTCAGGGTTTCCTTATGGGGAATCTGATCTGGCCACAAGTTACTTGGCCTCTACAGCCTTCTAGAACCTTGTCACAAACCTCTATGACTCCCTCACTCTTAGATTTCATGCTTTCCAACCAGTACCTTGTGGGCAATACTGCTGAGTTGTGCTGTCCACTCCAGATGTAGCCTGATCCCTTCGGAATACAGTTCCATTGGCTTCTGTAGGCTTTCTAGATGACCCTGGGGTACTTCACTAGGGAGTTGCTTTAACAGAAACTCCATTAGAGGTTCTAGGTTTAGGCTCTGTCTTTTCAAAAGAATTTAGGTTTTCATAAAATAGAGCTTTCACTCAGTAGGATCTTATCCTCAGGGAACCATTCCTACGGTCCCAATGCAGAGGAGGTTTCTTTTTAGTGATACTAATCTCTTTAACAACCATAGCTGCTGGGGGTGGAGAGATGGCTCCAATGGTTAAGAGCACTGACTGCTGTTACAGAGGACCCAGGTTCAATTCCCAGCACCCACATGGTGACTTAACAACCGTCCATAACTCCAGTTCCAAAAGAATCTGATGCCTTCTTATGACCTCCAAGGGCATTGCATGACATGAGTACACTTACACACATGCAGGTAATACACTCATACACATAAAATAATAATATTTTTTAAAAAACAATTACAGCTGCTTTCTGAGCAACCACCTTATCTATGATTTAACATCCCTCCTTTCTCTGCCAAATGACACATTTTAAAAAAAATATTTTTGCTCTGCTTGCTGCTTTCTCTCACTGTAGACCTGCATCAGAGCACTAACAACCATAACATAGCCCGACTGTTGTCCTGTCTTGAGATTTTCTCCACTAAACAGATTAGTCTATTTGTTTTGAATTCAGCCTCACTCCATTTCTCATGACTTGAGAAAGGGTAGAATGCAGCCATATTCTTTGCCAGAATATAGTTAAGAATGGCCTCTCACCCAGTTCCCAATAGAGTCCTTGCTCCCTCTGAAACCTTGGATGAGCCAGGCCTTCCCTATCTGCATTTCTCTTGACATTCTGGTCTTCCAAACTTCCACCAAAATGCCTGGTAAGCTCTGCTTGCAACATTCAAGGGCTTTTCTAGTCCAC